TGTCCTTTATTAAGGAAACAAAGTAGGCTTTGTAAGATCACCATGCTGTGTGTTTTCCATATTTTGAATCAGCTGACAATTTTTCACGAAATGAGATGTGAACTTTATGCCATTGGAGGTCACACCAGCCTTAAACTTGTTAATTTCCTACTGTCAGTAATAACAGCATAAGAGATGGCCTCTTAATATAAGGTCCTGAAATTATGTATGACAACAGATGGTAAAACTATCCCTGTAACAGGCCATGAAGGCCCATAGGCTCCCACATTTTCTCTAGACAAAAATTTTGTCAAAGATTCTTTCTTTTTTGGTGTAATGTAAAATAACTTGGCAGTCAGGTGACAATTTTCATTTAGCTTTCAGTTTTATAATACTCACTAATGGGCCACTGAAGCTAGGAATGTGAAATTTTTATGAAGATAAATTATAAACAAAATTATTGTTTGTAAGTCATGAATTACGAATGTGGCCACAGCACAAAACTTCAAGATTATATCCTAGGTATTATAATGTTGATAGAATCTGTATTTAAGTAGTAAGTTCTTCCAAAAAAGAAAATAATAACAACAGTAACATCAACAATAACAACAATCTGCAACATAAATTATTTACAGCTGCAGGCATTATAAAAATCTTGATTGGGGTAAGATTTGATCCTATGACCACTTACACACAGACCCTGCATATTAATCCACATGCTAAATTGCATTTTGTTTTGTTGGATTATAAACTTACTTTACCTACTTTACCTAAACATAACATTAACAGCACAAGATTTGTACAAGTTAAAGTCTGTACAATAGGAAAGTAGGCTTCATGAGTTCTGCCCAGAACTTGTTTCTTGTTATTCTGTATTTTTTTTTTTTTTGTTGTCTTCAGTTCATGGCTGGTGCAAGCATAAATGCTGTCTCAGCCCCTTCCCCTTAAAGCATATCAATTTGCCCAAGCTTCATTGCAGAATAATTTGATTTACTTACATTCTTTTCATAACCTTTTTGGGTTATTATAAAGTAATGATCGTGATATGAATGAAAGATAAGCAAAAATTAATATTCATTTAAGAGGGTGGGGGGGGTACAAATGTGCCACCTTAGTGACCACTTGGTTCCCCTGTGCATCTCTGCAAGCTTTGCTTCTGCTTCATTTCTCTGGTTGAATTTTTAAATTACAATTTTGTGCTTGCTCTGTAACATTGGTATGGAATTCTGTTACATTATTATTGCATATTTCTGCAGTTCTGATTTTAAAATATAAAAAATATATCTAAACATATGGAATGCAGGACAAATATAAAATTATGCTTAAATTTAATAATGAAATGTTTGAAAACGATTCAATGCCCTTAACTCGCTTGTGTAAATTAAGTAGGGCATCCTGAGAAAGTTGGGTACTGAATTGGAGCCATAATGAACACAGTAACAGCCATGAAAGAAATTATTGTATATAATGATTTCATCAACATAATGATGGTGTTTCAGAGAAAACTAATTATTGTTAACTTCTGACAAACCTATAGGTTAATCAGTTCCCATAATATTAGATTTAGTATATTGAAGACAGACAGAACAAACAAAAAATGAGACATTTCAATATAATGTTTCTGTATAGCAATACTTCATCTAGTGTTCAGCAGACTACATACTTCAACTTTCAACTGCTGATGCTACAGTCACCAAAACAGGAAAGGCATCCTGCAGCCATTAGTGTGCTAACTTCTTAATATACAAAGAATGTTATTATTTGAGTCAAATCTTTGTAATTATTTCCAACTTATGCCTGTAGTTATGCTTTTGTACTTGCAAATGTAAGAGATGTAATTTGAGTAAATATTATTTATTATTTATATTTTGTTACTGTGATGTCATAGCTGTCACAGAATTAAGAATTACCATAATGTTCAGATTATAAGATAATCTCACACATAAGGTGACCTTCCCACTTTCATAAAAAGGTGAGAAAGAAGAAAAAATGACTGTTATAACATTTTAATAAAAGGTAACTGTGAACTGTTAGAGCTTAATTACTAATTAAAATGTTTTATAATCTGACCAATATGGTAATATTAAGTATACTTCAAATTTGTATAACACTACAAATCAACCATAGACTTAATATTTACATTATTAGAACCATAACCTTTCTGCTTGTCATCATCCTTCTGAGGAGGCACACCTTGCATATATGCGATACAGCATCAGTTCCCTTCTATGTTACAGTGTAGTGGTGCTGACATATTTTAACCCTTTGCCATATCTAATGAAATGGAGTATGTTAAAATACAATTTTCCCAGCACCTTCTAAAACACTGTATAATGGGCAACTCAAAAGAAACATGAGAGAGATAAACAGGAAGTAAGAATGAAAGACAGACAGAAAGTCAAAGAGAGAAAACAAAGAAAGAGAGAACATATGTGAGATTTGTCCATAACAGTGATAATGTAGAGTTCTCTCTTCTGGGATGTGATGTCATTTAGTCAGGTAGATTGTTACTGTTGTTCCAGAGGAACATGCTGTCTCCATCTTCAGGCTAGAAGGGAAAAGTCTTTCCACTGAAGACGTACCAGTATGTTCCTCCAATCAATAAATATTTACCAGACTACATGACATCCCTCCCCAGAAGATAGTAACTTGTGAGGACAGAACAAAGGAAGGAAAGAAAAATTCACTAGTCAGACAATGTCACAACATAATGGATTTAAATGACACCCTCAGAAAGTAATAATTCTGAGTTTTACAGCCATTTAATGTCTTAATTAATTTTAAACAAGCATAAGTAACCTTAAACTGTAAAATATTTATAAAGTCAGATTCTATCTGATATTTCTAAATTAAAAGGACATGATCAGAGTTATAGCTGTTTACAAACATCTTTCTAAACAGCATTTGAACAATTAGATACAAATGTGTCATAATGTGTTTTAACTATAGGCTGACATTGTGGATTGTCTGGACTGAAAGATATATGACATTTTGGAGACTGATTCTGCATTTAGGTTGACCTTTTCCTGTGTTTAATGCTGTTGAATGTAGTAATACATAATGTCTNGTTATCTTAAAAACCAGGACGATGGATAAAGTCCAAAAACCCAACATATCAGTGTGTTATACACCATCGTCAGAATCCTACAGTAACTATAATGTCTCTTGCCATGCTTAATGTCCTAAAATATGTATAACATTTTAACCATCTGAAGAGTTCTGAATCCAGCAGCACCATTTAAGTGTGTGTTTTTCACTGATATGTATATCACATGAACGTGAACATGCTCTCTTGCACACTAGTCATAATATATGTCATTCTGTTGGAACATTATGCAACACATGTCAGATGCTCTCAAAAGCATTCACACATAAATGGTAGCCCTCAGAAATAAAAGGAAACTTGTATCATACTGGTATGATCATGCTGACCAAAGGCATAAGAAAGGTAAAGCTATTCTTGTAACAGGCTGTGAAGGTCCATATGGTTGTGAGAGGTCAAAGCTCCCACATTTTCTAGATAATTGACTCACAGATGGCAGTAAAGTTGTCAGCCTTATGTGCCAGCTGGCTGCCCTTTATGCCCCAGGAAGATTCATGGTACTTATTTCAGTTAGAGGCTGGGTCAACCCCCAGGGCCATATTGCAGCTGGAAGGATTAGGTCAATTGAAACATCCAATAACCTCATCAGGAATCGAACCCACCGCCTTCCAGCTTCTAGCATAGTGCCCGAATCAGCTACACACCTGTGTGCCCCCTACCAAAGGGATATGGGAATTTAACTTGTTATGTCTCAAAGTTATTCATTTTTCTGTCAAATACTGTATTAATTGCTTGGGTTATTAGCTTCAAATGATGTACTGTAAGGTGATCTGGAGCAGTGAAGGAGGTGCAGTACTACTGTGGCATTTATCTGACAGAACTGGGGAAACTCATGACAAACGTGTTATGATAGCTAGTCTTTTGGCCAGTCCACACAGAGAATCCCTCCTAGATACTAGAAGCTTGACCACTAAAACTTGAAGTTGTAATGCTGAAATGCTGTTAATAACAAACACGTTTTTATAACGCAGAAGAGAATTATAAGAGTTATTTTTAATGTGAGCCCCAAAATATCTTGTAGGGGACTTTTTGGATGTTTATATATTTTACCTTTTTATTCTCAATACATGTACTCCTTGCTGTTGCTGGTAGCAAGAAATGCATCTAAATTTGTGATTAGCAGCGAGATATATGTGATAAATACAAGACAAGCATTAACTTGTATTTGCCTTCAGTTAACTTGTCCAAATGCAAGAAAGGTCCCTACTTTATGGGTATAAAGATTTTCAGTCATTTGCTGTAGGATATAAGGAAATTGCTATATGATGTTAATAAGTTTAAAGTGGTTACTAAGAAAATTTTTTACAGGAATCTTTTTACTCAATAAATGAATACTTCGAGTGGTCTGATAAATGAAATCAAATTGTATTTATGTTGCTGTTTGGGTCACATTTTTATATTAACTTACACACTTATTTTACATTTGTATATTATTTTGCAATTGTATGTGTATAATGTATCATATTAATGTATTACTGTATTACTGAATAGGGTGTAATGTCTTTATATTACTGTATTACCAACTGACAAGGCTGCTTGTTGTACGGCCACTATTGTATCTTATTTTATTGTATGTGGACATCTTCTATATCCTAGGTGATGATCACTGTTATGGATTACTAGAAGAAAAATAAAATGAATGAATGAATGAAAGTTTGAATTTTAGTTTAGTTTAATTAGTGATTGGGGCATGCAGTAGTGTAGTTGGTTGAGGCACTATGCTACAAGCCAGAAGGTCGCAGGTTCAAGTCCCAATGAGGTGGAATTTTTCAATTGACCTATTCCTTCCAGCCACACTATGGCCCTGGGTTCGACTCAGCCTCTAACAGAAATGAGTAACAGGAATCTTCATGAGGGTAAAGGGCGGTCAGTGTGTAAGGCTGACAAACTTACCGCCATCTGTGAACCGATTGTCTAGATAATGTGGGACCTTCAATGTCTCACAACCCTATGGGCCTCCATGGCCTGTTTCAGGAATAGCTTTACCTTTCCATTAGTGATTAGTGGGGGAGGTTTAATTTTATTCCATCTGGATCTTCCCCATTTTGGGTTACATACCCAAGGGGAAGTTTCTGTGTGTTCTCAATATTCATCTACAGATCATAAAACTTTTTCACTGGTCTCTAGATGTCACCTGCAGGTTCTTCAATTTTCTAAACTATCTAGTATAACAACAAAATTGACAGATAACAGGAGAATTACTTAAAAAGAAAACTTTGCATTTTTTACAATTTATGCTTGCAATTACTATGGCTATAGCTTGAGAGCATAGAGATGCACTTCTGGATGTATTTATTAATGTGATCATTTATTAAGTTACAGCTTGGATTATACTAAGTATTTTATGAATACAAAAAAACAGAAAAAATCTGACAGAAAATTTAAGCTGAGTGAGGTTTCAAATGGGTATAATCCACTTGTACCTTATTGTCACAGTTACCTCCAAAAATACTATATCTTCTTTATTCAAACAATGGACAATGGCAAGGAGATGCTCCAGTATCAAATGGATCCATTTATTTATGCCTAAAACAAAATTTATTTTCAATAGCCAACATTAAAGATGTACAAAAATTGCTTGGTGGAGCATACATTCATAATCACTGATTATCGCACAAGAGAGTTACAAGAAGAACAGACATATTTAGAAGCATACTGATTTATTGCTTACACAGAAATGGTCTAAATACTGTATAGCATGGTACTATATACTCTCTATGCAAAGCGGTAATTTTCAGTGGAATGCTAGCAGGTGTTTCAACCTGCAGTGTACAATACCATACAGCCCTTATCACACTTTATTGCTTCAAGCTGTATGACCTTGTACTTTTGTATTTATTTGTGTGTGTTTCAATTCATAAATTGTAAAGTGCATGATAGTGGCCTGGTACTTTATTAATAACAGTGGCTTGTGTATAAAAATTAACAGTGCTATGGCCTGACTAATTAAATCACATAAACTTTTTTGTGGCATCCTAAAACAATACTTTGTCTCAGCCTTGGTCTCTCTCGATTCCTTTTAAAAGTGCAATCATATTTTCCAGTCCAAAAAGGAACCCATGATCAGGACCTGAATAGACCACAGGATCATCCAGACCTTTGTGGGTTGAATGAGCAAAATCAATTATCCGAACATCAACAAGTGGCTCTGGCATCAGTAATGGAGAGGAAGGAACAGAAGCTTCATATGAAGGTGATGAGTTCAATTTGATGTCCTCATATGTGACAGTGCTGCTACTGCGGCGATGGTATAATCCTGAGGATTGTTTGTGTGGGTCCTCTGAAGCTGCTAAGAAGTCTAGTGACTGATCAAGCACCGCTGAAAGAGTTTCTGCGCTCGAACTTCGCCTGCTGAGCCGTCCTTCAATACAGTCATTTCTTAAAAAGTCTGTATTTTGATCATGGACTGCAGATATTTGGCTGTCCTCTAAATTTTTGGATCGTACCTTGTTGAAATCATAAACTGAAGCTGTGAAAGAGTAGAATGTTAATGCAAGTACAAATGTGTGCCATACACACATACACACAACTCTTGTGATGTAGTAACAGATTCAGCTGGCCTAGAAAATCTGTGTTATGGAACTTGAACATTCATAACTGTCAAACCTAAAAGCTGTCCTTTTGATATTTTCTGGTGTTCATTCAATATATATCACATTTTCAGAACCAATTTCTCTAACATCAAATTTAATATTATTTTCACAACTTCCAGGTCATCTCCTTTCAAGTTCTATAGAAAAATGTTGTACCAGTTCCTTTTTTCTCATGTCTGCTATCTACATGTTCTGACCACTTCATTGTTCTTGATTTGATCATCCTTACAGCTTACATGAAAACTACAAATTGTGAATCTTGTCACTGTATAATTTTTTGCGGTTTCCTCTTTGTTTCTGCTTGTTTGAATTTTAAACACCATGAATCTATGTAAGATTTGAGGTTTTCACGGCGGTGACTACGAAGAAAGCAGTCTTCTGGGATGTGGCACCATATAGATGTGGTGTTAACCGACGTTTTGGAGGAACGTATCATCTCCATCTTCAAGGTAGAAGGAAAAATAAGAAACTCAGCAAGTGAAGAGACAGTGAGAACAGATGCAAGCAGACTAATGTTGGAAATAAACTCAGCTAAATGAGAGCAGGGAAGGGAGGGGGGGACAAGTCTACATGGGAAATCAGTGGGGAAGGGAAGGGTCTGGGACAGGAGCAAGGNTGCAGGTATAGGATATTGTGTCAAGGGAGAAAGGCAAGGTTAATGGGAGGGCATTAACCCTTAAGCTTGGGGGAGGGGGTTGCTATGTGAGTCAGTCTTGGACTGTGTGGTCTTTTGGATCTGGCATCATGTCCAGGGGGGGGTTAGGGAACAGATGAGAGGCTTCTGAAATGTCGGTTAACACCACATCTACATGGTGCCACATCCCAGAAGACTGCTTTCTTCACCATGAATCTATGTTTATTTTTTGCAGACACCAAGTTTCATAACCCATTTAAAATGTTGATTAAGAGAAATCCTTCTAGTATTTCAATCTTCAGATTCTAGGGAAAAATTCTGATGCACACAGTAACCTGCATTTCATGAATTTAGTTTGTTGTCTCAGTTTCTTCACATTACTTTGCAGATTGTTTCTGATGTCTCAAAGCACTTTAACCGTGCCACATTTTTATAGAATTTATGATCAAATTATATATTATTAAACTTCTGGCCTATATCTTCTTACGGAACGTGAGATATTTACTGCATTTCCTGATGTATAAGACTGAGGGATCGTTTCTTCGAAAATTCACCAAAAATGACACTCATGTGATTTAGTAAGAATATTTAATTTCTCCTTCCTAAATCATCATGCATCTTACACACCGGGAAATACGACATTTCATTATTGCACATGTTCTTACGGGTCTATATTACAGTTGGGATTCTGTTAACTACGAGGTATTAGATGTCTCAAAAGAACATAAAGACTAGTTAGTTAGTTATTGGAGAGGGTGGGTTAACCCATGCACCGCGACCAGTTTGATCTATTGTGCTTCCCTCTATGACATTCTACCAGTCTCTATACCCTACCGATATTGGTGCATACCATCAATCCCGACCGAGCCAGTGAGTTCTCTACTGGCTTAGCGGTATCTATAATGCTTCCCCCATCTATCAGAGGCATTAGAGACTACTGTTGGGCGGGAAACGTCCTTGAATTTGGCTCAGTGACCTCCTTTGGAGATATGAGGTTCTTTTACGTGCCGTAAAGCTACGACACGGGACACACGGCTTAAAGTCCCTTCCGGAGGACTTGGTCCCTGAATTTTTCCGCCCTTAAAAATTCGACGACCTCCGCTGGGTTTGAACCCGCGTACCACAAGTCATGAGGTGGGAACGTTACCTCTAGACTACAGAGGCCGCTAACATAAAGACTAAGTTATAAATGTGCATGTATCTTGCGTTGCATCAGACCTGTCCCTTGTGTCATCACTTACCCAAGGTGTCACTGTGACAGTCATCTCCCTCATAAAGAAGAAGCAGTGAAGTGGTGTAGAAACGTACAGCATCCTGTCGTCCCAGAACACACACAAGCTCCTCTAGACGTCGTATAAGTGGAGGCAGGACATCTGACCTGAGCCTTGTCCCGTTGTGCAAAAACTGACGCAAAGCTTGTTGAAATCCTCCTACTGATAGGCTGCGTCCGTAGAATTTATTGCGACACAGGAAGTGTTTTGTGGTAACTTGATACACCTATTAGAACATGGGCAGAGTCGGTTTTGCCATGGTGTATTTAACAGTGCTATTTGAAATGGGAGTTTTGGTTTGAATTACAAACATTTAATAAAATAGTCACAGCCAAATGTAAGGTACTTACAGCATAAACTCAGAGATTGCAGAATATCACTGAAAACCTCAGTCAAAAAATCTGATTTCAAAGTCGAAATTTCAGCCAGAGACCTCTTGAATATGAGGTAGCTATACTAACAACTACACTATAATACAGTATGCGCCAAAATATTCAGTACTGAAATGAAAAGACGTCCTATTGATACCACTGTCTATTCATGTGAAGGCCCCTTGCATGACAGAACCTTCTGAAATCCTGAAGAAATGGTCTGATCACCATGTCCCTGTAGAATTCTTGGGTGACAGTAAGAGTATTGCCTTCCTCATCCTCAATGACATAGGGTCCTAATATACAGTGTGCTGAGACGGCACACCATATCATCACACGCATACTATGTAGCGGTTTCTGGACGATAACATCTGGCCGCTCATATCCAAGGAAGCGAGTTGACTTTTTCCTCCATCGAGAGACCCATTTCCAGCAACAACTGCACAACACAACTTCCTTTTCACTATTGGGAACACGTGCAGTTGGAGCTATGCCCTGTCACAAAATGCACATGTGCTTTCGAGACGTGCAAGTTTCCATACTGCATTTTTGGCACATACTGTATTTGATGTGGCCTATTTGAGATAATTATTAACATCTGAGACAAGAACAGGAACTCAGGAGGTCTTGGTTTGATTCAATTTAGCTATCCTTTGTTTTGCATCATTTTATTTAGTCCCTGTAGGCATATTCTGGGACAGTACTTTCAAATAGGCTGCTGCTTCTTCCTTCCACAATCATTTGACTCCATATAATCTACACAACTGAGGAAATATTGTAACAAACTGCATGAAGTGAACAGCACTGCATATTCTGAAGGCATATGTAACAAAATGAGGCATTTTTAGTACATAAGATCTAAAAGTTTGTGACGTTGATACATTAGTATAAATATTATGATTTTGAATGCTATCCATCGTCTTGTCTTTATCTAAAACCCATCCTGTTTATTTTTCAAAACACAGTGCTTCGGAGACTGGACTCTGTCTCTGTCTTCATGTAAAACCTACTCAGTTGGACTCAATCAATTGAGCTAGTCCTTATTTACAGCTCTATCAACTGGGCCCAAGTGAGTAGGTGTTACCTGAAGATGGAGAGAGAATCTAGTCTCTGAAACGTTGTGTTTTGAAAAATAAACAGGATGGTTTCCGGGTAAAGACAAGACAATGGATAATGTCCCAAGACATAATATTTGTATATTTTTAGTATTTCCTGCAAGAGTAACTTACTTTCTGCAGTTATAAAATTGTATGTACTAAATCAGAAGCGACAGTGATACTGTGATACATCAGTTAACATGAGCTTGTGAAAGCAGTTTCCAGTGACAGATTCATTAACTTTTGACAGTTTGAACAACAACAACAACAACAACAACAAAAAGTTTGGAACCTGCATTCCTCCAATGCGGACACCCAGTTTACCAGATGTGGTGCTCACAACTTTGAACATCTTACTCTGCTTCTTGGGAAGACTCGCTGAATCGCCATATTGACGAGTTCCCATTTTCAGATCAAGAATGCATGGGAATGTAAATTTCCATGCGAGGTTTTCTAGCAGAATGAAATCTGTACCCACAGTTAAGGTATTCATTAATTCTCGAAAACATGATTTACTGGGTTTGGCTCTCTCAAAACTAAATGTCAGTACAACCTAGACAATCATGCTCTTCAATCTTCATGATAAGTAAAGTAAAGCTATCCGTGTAACAGGCCATGAAGGCCCATAGGGTTGTGAGATGTCAAGGTTCCCACACTATCTAGACAATCGGCTCAAAGGTTGTCAGCCTTACATGCCTGCCGAGCTTTACTCCCGAGGAAAATTATTTAATTATTTCCTGGTACTCATTTCTGTTAGAGGCTGAGTAAACCCTAGGGCCTAGTGCAGCTGGTATGATTAGGTCAATTGAAAAAAACCCCAATGACCTCATCGAGACTTGAACCCGCAACCTTCCGGCTACCACGTGCCCCCCAATCTTCATGATTCACATTGTAAATTTTTATAGTAAGACCAACAGATTCTCTGTGACAGTTGTTTACAACCTGTTGATCATGAGAATGCTCTGCACAGGCCACAGATTGGAAGTACGTAATTACAGTTAATTGTCTCTGTAAAATCATTTATATGAAAATTTACTTCTCTTTAAAGCAAAATTTCTGTACTACAAAGGTTTATAATTGCTGAGATAAGTGGCTTATAGAGCTGATGTTTTTAAATTTAAAAAACTAAAATTTGTATTTAATGCTTTCATTTTATTGTGGCAAAGTTGAAAGTTCATTCTCTTACTGTGTCAACATTCTCAATTTTAGAACACTTACAAGAATGAATCATTACAACTGTAACCATCTCTCCAGATATGAGCATTGATTGATGAGTTGAGTACGGGCAGAAACTGAATGAACTGAAGTTCAAGAAATTGATCTGTAAACTTTGGTATTTTAAATTTAAGAAAATCACCTTCATAACTCAGTTACTGCATGAAACATAACCCCTTTAAATATAGGTATTATTTTTGTACCACAAAGCCTGGCACATTATATTCTGCATGCATCTGACATATAGTGGCAGAAATATGAATTTTATATTATTTTTATTCTTATCTAAGATAATAACAAAAGAGGCAAATGTGCAGGACAATGCATTAACATAAAGTTTCTTGCTGCTGAGGAAGTTTCAAGGTGTTCAAATGCTGTACACATTTCTGGAAAAGTTAAAAACTCCTTTCTTTATGATACTGTAAATGACACACAATTCATTCTTCTAACATGCAAAACATCTGCTGTGTTTAGAGTTGAATCCTGCAATAAAGGTTTTCAGAACATGAACTGGAAAGAGCTTTAATATCCTCCTCATAGTCCTGACTTAGCTCACAGCAATTTCTCTGTGTTCCACTGAAGGTCAGAAATTTGAATACAGTGCATGTGGTCAGCAACGTGTCCATTTTTATTGAGGGTGCTTTCAGAAACTTGTATGAAACAGGATTTATGAAGTTTGTATAATGACAGGAAATCTGTACACAACTGGAGGAAGAGACAGATGTTCCAACACTCTTTCTACATATTTATGAAGTACAATATAAAATAATTTCTTGGAATTTGTTTGTTCCCCATTTATTATCTTTTATTGCATCAGATATTTCAGAAAGTACTTTAAGTACTGTATTTTTATTATATTGCTAGTCTAGCTTGGTTCTAAATTTTAATGAAAGGATACTCAGTTCAGAATTGCTGGCATGTACTCTAGCCATAAGTTCCTGCAATTGTGTTCGATGGCACTTAAGAACCCATGGATTGAGTGCAGTCTCCTTTTTTATTCCTGTATTCCCAGAAGTCCCTGCTTCAGGTTGGTCCTCATGAAACAGTCCTTCGACACTGTTGTCAACTTCAATACTACCAGAGCGATGCATACGAATCCTACTGCTGTGGATTAGAACAGGTCTGTGGCTACAGAGAGTCTTCTTCAAGTCATCATTCAGGTAACACAATATGTCTGCAAACACTTACCAGGAATGCTGCCTTACAGATTTCACACTATTACAGTTTCATGTTCATAGATGGGGTAATGGTAGGACCTGCAAGTTCCACTTCAAGTGTTCCTGTGAGCAGACATTCTCGGTAAGTGTCCACAGCAATCATTGAATTAAGTGAAATACAGTAAATTTGATAATATAATAGCAATCCTACATTGCACACACCTTTTGTCATTGGACTGTATTGGTTTGTACTGTTCAGGGGGTGTGGCAATGAGAGTGACATATCCTTCTTCTTGTACGATATGAACTTTAACAACACCATAAAATTTCGGGGTAAATTTCCGCACAGAGTCAGGCAGGGTCTCATAAAACTGGAGTTCTCTAGGTACAAGTGGTTTGCATACAGTTGCTTGGTCCAAACACAGCATTGATGAATGTCCTCCAACTTGATGTATAAAGGGCTCCAACTGTAACACATTTCAGGTATGACAACATTCCACTCACATGGACATCTTTATCTTTGATATCATTAAAAAATGATTCATGACTTATATGACAGTTGCTAATGCTCTGACAACAAGAATGTTACTTACATGAATGTAATTGTTTTCTGACGAGGATTCCATCAGCTATGATACCATATATACGGGAATACGTATCCCCCGATCACTCAAAAATCGAAGGAGTTCAAATTTTGCTGGGCTCTTAAGAGGACTGTAGTCAAATAGCACTTAGTGGAAGGTGCAAAAATCGATAGCAAGTTCATTGATGAAACTGTGTCCCACTTTAAAAACTAGTAACATAGAAACATATTTAAAATACTATTTATTTTTTTTTAATATCATTAGATTCAACTCGTCCTACAAACTGTATGCAGTTACAAATATTGTTTAAGAGCATTACTACTGTCTGGTAAATTCACCAATATGAAAGTTATTGAAACGACGTCTGCTGGTATACGTAATCCAATGCATGTGCTCTACTGATCTATAATACGTTAAATAAAATGTTGTTATTCTGTGCTCTGTAATAAATTATTTCAGATTAATTCAAATATAAAGTACATTTAGCAGTATCGTTATAATGCGAGCTGTGCTAGCCATATAACTTTGAAATGATGACGATATTTAACTTGACTATCAAACCTTTTTTCGACGACAGCCTGGCCAGCTGATCGACTGATCATTTCATTCACAATCAGCGAGCAGCCAACATGGACGCTAGTATGCACGTATCTTCGTAGTCTTTGGATAAAGGGTACTGATTTCAGTGCTCGTTCTTGTGACTGATAATTGTTGTAGCATTTGGCAGTCTGTGATTAACGAATGAATTTACGTAAATGGCGTTAAGTTTGCAAACCACACTAAAGTAAGTCATATTATGGCGGGCGACAAGGTGCTACAACGGTGAGAATTTAGCGGATAATATTAATATTTTTTGTGGAAATCAGATTTGTTCAGTTTCGTATTTGTGTCGCGTTTGGAATAACCGGAATTTTGATCATCATGGTGAAAGAGAAGCCAAACTCAACCCGAATATATGACGAAGAAGGCTTTAGAAGACGGGCAGCTTGTATCTGTGTAAAAAGTGAACTGGAGAAAGAGGTACGTGAAATGAGATAACCAATTATTATAGTTCTGATTCTTAATGGTATTATAGATTAACCCTTTGCATCGGCCATGCTAATTTGCTGTGGGTAAATTAAAAAAAAAAGAAAGGGGTACTACCGATAGTTGCAGGAAGGCAGCTTGTTTGTTTGCTTCAGAACACGCGTGTAACGCATGCTGTAAGCTCCGTGTTTGTACCGGTTCACCGAGCACACCGAGTGCATTTTAGATTGTCTTTTTCAGTGAATATGCGTCTGACGGATTCAAAAGCATGTTTTTCAAGTGACAGTTGTGATATTGCTGTTTTGATTACAAACAAGGGGCGGGGTCCGAGGGCATATTGACCTACCGTGTTTTATTATCAGTAGTTACAAATTTTCGTATGGTTCACGCGGTAAATCATAAAGTAAACGCGTGACAGATACGAACATCGCTATGAACTGTATTGTAATATTGGTTAGGATATAAAGGAGCGTTCATTTGTTTGTATGATATTGTTATTCTTAAAGATACTGACAAACTCTAAACATATATCATCCCCTGGCAGGAACAGTAGAAAAATTGATTGTTCGAGGATGTTTTCAATTGTAAATATGGGCAGCTCGTGGTTTTGTAATATAAATATGAGAGGAATGTTAAATGTTTTGATAATATAAATGTTGGAGGTGTATATTAAATTCATGTAACTTAAAACTTTATCGTATATATGGTGTTAAAACATAGTTCAAGGGGTTGCTGTTGGAGGAGATTTTATAATTTTATACACTGTTACATTTTTTTAACATTTATCTTGTATTATGACACCCACGAGTAATACGTGAATGAAAGTGTAATTAACAGCATGCTTTATATATGTTGTACATATTCTATGTTGAACAGGTGTTCACACCTGCATGATATGACTGGCGAAACATGTAGTTTGTTTATAATTAGTATAGTATTTTGAATAATATTGGAGGGTAAAACTGTGACATTTTAATAATAAATGTGGCGCTAATTTCTTGTGCGAGACTGCAGTCTCTCCTTTTTGCTAAGAATTCATTCATTTACATTCCGTGGATCCTTACATGGCCAGAAGACCAGGGGATTTAGAAATAGTCAAAGACAGCAGGACAAGTCCCATCAATTATTTAAATAAAAATTAATTATACTTAATCCATAACAATTACACATATTATCCAAAACAGATCACAATGAGTAAATCATTCAAACAGTTAAAAAATATATAAGTAAAAGCATGTAACATAACTAATATGACACAAGAGGACAATAATGAAACATAAAAATATACTACTAGGCATCCAGTGTATAACAGACCAAGATCATTAACTAATATTGAAGTTAAAATATTCCTCCAGTGAGTAAAATGAATTTAAGAGTAGAAATCTTTTTAAAGCCAATCAAATTTGTTTCATATCGTAAGCTAAGTTCTTTATGCTAGAAAGAAGATTATTAACAACTTTTTTTTTTAATTGTTTCATTTTTGGTCCGTTACACTATCAATCACAAATTGTCAATGAAAAATCTGTCGAGTGTAACAATGTTTTTAGGTCACTTATTTATCTCACTTGCCTTACATGTTTCGGTTCAAGAGAAACCATCATCAGAGGCACGTATTACAAACACATGAAAACACTGGCGTTGTTTNTCCCATCATCGGGACGAATCAACAAGAAGGAGCCGAACATTTTACTTTAAATGTTTTAAACTTTTAAATATTTTAACATTGACGGCTCAATTTGAGGGCAATTTTCAGATGGAATGCAAGAGTTGTACGTGCATTCAATGTTACTAGAAAGTGTTGTGCTTTTACACTTCGACATCTGTAACAGCGTCCACGCAGCTTACATACTGTGCACATAAAACAACTCCAGTGTTTTCATGTGTTTGTAATACGTGCCTCTGATGATGGTTTCTCTTGAACCGAAACATGTAAGGCAAGTGAGATAAATAAGTGACCTAAAAACATTGTTACACTCGACAGATTTTTCATTGACAATTTGTGATTAAAAACTTTGATTCCATAATGGTATGTTCCTTTTTTAAATAGTGTTAAATTACATATTGGATAATGGAAATTGTTATTGTGTCTTATATTAATGCTATGAATCTCAGTCAGATTTAAATTATTCTCTGTTTAACCATAAATAGTAAGGGAGAATATATGTACTGTGATCAAAGGGATTATTCAGGGATTTACTGGCCATGCTATAGTGCCATTTTTCTAATTGTGAAAGTTGTTTTGTCTTAAATCGTAATTTATTTTACCCTCATTATACAGCTTTGAATGTTTGAAATAGTGCATTAGTATGATATTTTGCTTATTAAAATGTATCCAGTTAAATTTGATTACTGAGGCAGGTTCATTGAACCTCTGACTTGCTAAAAGTTTTGTTTGCAGTTAGATATGCATTCAGCAGCAGTTCAGTTCTTAAGCATCAGAGGCTTGGGAACTTGTTTAAACATATAATAAATATAAAAACATTTCCATATATGAGATTAAGAATTTGTCTTAACTTATATAATTTAACTGTTGATGTTAATAGTTAGTTTGAAGACTTAACCTGGTTGAGATATTTGTGGTTTTCCTCGGTCTCTGCAGGCAAGTACTGCAGTAATCCTTCAAATGAAGCCATGAGTGTAACCTTCATTCTTTCAAAATTTGTATTCATGATCAGTGGTATACAAAATATGTAGTTAAGAAAGTGTAAGGTAATTTGAGAATAAATCAATTTTGTAACTGTAATATGTCAAGTCCAAATGTTATAGCAATTTTGCTCTGCTCTTTACAAGTTCTTGAAAAACAAATAATGTGTCATACATAGAGGACATGAAACAACAGTTCATACGCATCATGCCACATGCCATTTGGTCACCAGACAATGTTTACAGCTGTTGGGTGCAGTATTAACTTAGCTGTTTCAATATTGTCATGTGATACAGCTGGTGCAGGAGGCTAATTAACGTCAGTCCAACATACATATGTTATGTATTATATTGAGGTCATAATCTTTCAGAGTGATGCAGTTAGTAATATTGAACTTGTAGATCAGATGTCACGCCAAGGAATTCTGGTATTCCATGGAATACATTTCTGACCCAGACTAAAAATGAAGTTCTGTTTAAATTTGGAAGCTGTCATTCTTTATTCAGTTACCTCTCCATTTATTTTTGAAGGTTTTAATTTTGAGTTGACATTGAAATATATTTTAGCGAGAACCTCGAATGTTGCATGGGGCCTCATTATTTTCAAAGATGTGTAATTTTGAAGTAACGTACTCACAATTGACCATTCTCATGGATGGTTGTACCCAGTGCAACTGTTTTAATTAACTTTTCCTGTTAGTTGGTTTTGATCACAGATTTTGAAATGGAAAGAGAGATTGTATACCCCTCTCCCTTCAGTTGGGTGTAAGTAGGTGATGTGGATTTTATGCAGTCACCAACTGGAGAAATTTGTATTACGCTGATCAGAGTTTCCAAATTTGAATAGAATTTGGGAATTCTGAATGGGAGTTTGGCATCGCAGAGGTCATTACGTCTCCTGGGTACAGAAAAAGAGGAGAGTTGGCATCTGAAATGTAAACAGCGAGGCTCAGTTCCTGTGTCAGGCTGCTTCAACTCTGCGGATACTATTCTGTCATGAATTCCTTTTTACATTGTGGAAATATGACGTTCATAAAGTATAGTGATTCAAGATTTGCGGTACTGGAGGCGGTGACTATTAAGATTGCAGTCTTCTGGGATGTGAGGCAATGTAGTATGGCAGATATGCTGACTGCTATGCTACACAGCATGACATCTCAGTAGATTATAATGTTTATAATGATTTGGTAAAGCTGGAAACCATACTTGTCTGTAATTAATTAAATAGTTTACTAATTTATTCTTTTTGCCTGAATTAAAGGCTGCCCATAAAGTAACTCTGGAGACAATTCTCTGTGCTCCTGATTAAGCTTGGTTTCATTACAGGTGTAGTTTATCAGAGACTAATTAGCAGTTGTCTCCTATTTATTTCCTTACTTACAGATTTATTTCTATTAATATATCAGAGGAAGTAGGACAGTTTTCCAATAGTTTAGTGCCATATGAGCAGCCAGGATGGTGCAGTAAATATAGCAACTGGCTGTGGGCTACATGACTGAGGGATCAGAGTTTGAGTCCCGGTAGGGTCAAGGATTTTCTCTTCACCACTTCTTCCAGACCAGCTCTGGGGCCCATCCAGCCTCCTATCCAGTGGGTACCAGGGGCTCTTTCCCTGGGGGTGTGAAGCTGACCATTCACCTCCAGCTAGTACCAAGGTGAAGAAAATGTGGTTCTATACATCCACTCCCCCATATGCCTTCATGGCATAGTGCTTATTTAGTTAAGTGCCATATGAAAACCATTATGTTTGTGCATTTTTTGTTCTCATGTGGGGTTCTGTCAGTACTTTTGTGGTCAGAGGAGTTCTGGAAAGATTCTGTGGCCACCAGTAACATTTGTGGCAAGCAAACTGTATAACTTTCAGTAAGCATGCAAGACCTCCCATAAACTAAGTGTACTCAAAGCTAAAACTCTTCATGGTAACTGCTGTGAGAACCTCAAATACTACACAAGTATAGTAAACCCAGAAGGTTCAACACTAATACAAAAGCTCATTATTGGACAACAGTCTTGTGCCAATACCATCAGCCCTGAATCCTTGCATCTTATTTCCCTAAGATCCAGCGTAATGTTAACTGCCTATCTCCTTTTCAGTCTTCCAAGTAATTTCCTGCCAGAATTCTTTAAACCTTCATCTCCCATATTCTGATATCCAGCCATCTTAGCCTCTTAGATTTCACTACATAACAACACCAAGTGATGTGTACAAATCATGAAACTGTGTGTTATGTAATATCTTCAGTTGCTCATTTTTTTTGAGGTGGGGTGACTGAGTCCACTTTGTACATCAGCCATGAATTGGCTTATTGTACCAATCCCGGATGATAGATGATGAGCATGGAGCAGTTGGT